TATAATCAAAAAAGCTTAAATAATGAATTACTTTAAATCAATAAATATATTTTGATTATATCGATAAAAACTTGAAATATAAAAAAAAAATTTTATGTATAAATTATTAAACGGCAAATTTCAACTCAATTTGGAATTAAACCACACTAATGCGGATTAATGCAAACTTTGTAAAACTGAAAAATAAATAGAATAAACAATAATATATTTATAAAGCAAAATAAGATTATATTATATAATAATAAATATATAAAAATAAAAAAAATTAAAATATATAAAAATAAACAAAATAATCGTCTATAATCAGCTACACATAAAAGCTAAAAATCTAAATTAAAAATATTTTAGTTTTGATGACTAGTTTCTTCAGTTTGAGGTTGTGTTTCAGGTTAGTAGGAGTTGTATTTAATGCAGGTGGTATGACTTGGGCTTGATCGGAATGATGCGATTCTTTATAAGTAGAATTGGATAAATGATCTGAATCATCGAGGTTATGAGAGGAGGAGGGGTTTCTTAAATAGAAGTAGGTGTTTGTCTTATTTTACCCTTTTTACTTGGTCAGGTGGAGGTGCTGTTATTTTTCTTTTTCGATCCCAAGTTTTTGAAGAAGAAGTAGCTACGACTTCTTCTTTATCTTCTGAGACAGATTCTTCTTCGTTAGAAGCCATTGCCCAAAAGGCAAAGCAATCTTTTACTTTACCCTTTTTTTTATTAAATTTAAAATTATTAAAATTATTTTAGGTATATTTAAATAATATAAATATTAATTAATTATATATTATGGGGTTGGGATCCCGCGGCCTAGTGGTCTAGGCACCCAACCCTCACAAGCGGGTTTCAGGTTCAAGTCCTAGTAGATACGGTTTCTTACGAATACTTGAATATACTCACACGTGTAAGTTCAAGTGAATATATATTTGGAATAGGAATTTCCGGAAAGAGACCTATTTGCGGAGAGAGGGCACTACGTATAACAAGCGATGTTACAGAAGATTCTACTATACAAAGGTTGTGTATGTAAATTCTCGATTGGCATAGGTAGTACCAACAACTCTAAGGCGGCACTGGGATCTTGGTTGGAAGGACAACTAGGCAGGTAGCTAGAATTGGAGTAGTGAGAAAAGTGGTGAAACGCAATATGATCTGTGATAAAAAATTGGCTTTACCAATTATAGAACACCTCTGGCACAACTACTTACCTGATGAAGAAAAGAACAAACTTCTATAGAGAGTTGGCTGAAACTTGGGTACGTGTAACAAACTTGCGAAATGGCTTGGAGGCACTGGGCTGGTAGTGTAGCAATACACGAAAGAGAGAGAAAATACCAATACAGAAACACCAAACAATTAAAATGGAAGTGATACTGAACGAAAGTCCCAATTAGATCTTACTCCTAAACGCCTCATAACCTAAAACATTGGGGTATGGAAACACCAAATATATTTGGAGAGTACTCAGAACAACTTGGAAGATCTGTATCACGAAAAACACCTTTAGAAGTAACACTGTTACGATCATTCCCATACTCTCAATAACAACACCAACATATGGGAGTACCTGTTATCAAGAATTGGCAAGGCATACAATACACATACGACGTTAATTGGACTATAACTCTGTTGGACAGCCTTTAACACCGCCTTATCTGCAAAACAATATGTTGTTGAGTGTAAAAAAAAAAGTCCCACAATATATTAACACATGATGTGGATGCTGCGTGGATAGTAGGACAAAATACTTGAAATAGGAAGGCAGAGCAGTCTGACCAATTTGAAAGTAATCTTCATGGTTATGATGCCTCCTACGGGATACCAAAAGAGGGAGTTGCTTGTGGTAAAGTATGAGAGATGCAGTGAATATAGAAAGGAGTAATATGTACAAATCAGGATAAAGTAGTTAAATCCAGGTAATATATAAGTGGGATATGGAATACTCTGGTAGGTTTAGATCACAGATAGTAGTCAAGACCTGTCTGAGCTATAATGTACTTAATAATTAGTATATAAAATAATTATATCACATAATATATACAACAAAAATATATACTTAATAAAAAGCCATGAGGCATGACCTCACCTTAACACTGAAAAAAAAAAAGAAATCAACTTACAATTAAATGTATTGAATCAATGTCCAAATTACAGATGTATTGGCTTTCTGAAATTTGAAAAGAACTTGAATATTACGAAAAAGATTTAACAGAAGAGGAATTACAGGCATGTGCTAATATGACAACAATTCCAATTGATTTGTCTTCGAAAGCTGATATAATTAGCACTAATGATATATTTGATGATTATGAGTCTTATATTATGAATCAAAATATGCCTACTTCTGTTTTAACTTCAACAAATTCTGATATATTTATGGTTTTTGGAACAAAACTAAATGCTGAAGATATAGCAGATCTTACTTTACCTTTTTTTAATTTTAATAAGGGGGCTGACAAGTATTAGCTTATTATACCCCCCTGGGATTTTTATTTGACCCCCTCAGAGTCAGTCATTTAACATTAGTAAAAATTTACAAAAATTGCATAATGCAATTTTTGTAAATTTTTACTAATGTCAAATGACTGACTCTGAGGGGTCAAATAAAAATCCCAGGGGGGTATAATAAGCTAATACTTGTCAGCCCCCTAATACAGAACCATTTCGTGAAAATTTTAAATTACAATCTAAAACGGCATCAAGCAAAGGCCGTGGAAACATGAACTATGAAGTATCAAATATTGTTGACATAGTCTTAGAAATAGAGAGCAATAATAATTAACTTTAGAAAAACTATATAATAAATAATAAATAATAAATACACATATTAATTAAATATAAAAAAGCAATGCTCAAATAAATATAGTTTCTGAACGAAACTAAATATCAAAGACATAGCAAACTTTGCTATTTTTAATTATATTGAAGGATCGAACATTGTTTAGAAATGAGAACGATAATAATATCTTTAAAAAAAAACTATACAATAAGTGTTAAAAAAATGCTTATATTAATTAATTACAAAAAGAATGCTCAAATAATTTTTTTTTTATAATTAATCTTATCGCTTTACTGGTTTTTCCAGTTTTCACAGGTTTTATCAGTTTATATTTTGATAATTTTTACATTTTATCCTAAGCGTTAAAAATACAAATGGTATTAACCTATCACGTGGCTTTTTATACTTTTATCAAGTTTTATCATGAGTATTCTCGGCATCTATAGTCCGGATTAACCGGTTAGCAAAATTGCTATCCGGTTAATATTAAAAGTGCTTATACGGGTCACCCGGGTAATCCTTATCCGGGCCTAATCTCTAATCCTAATCAATCTTAATAATACGACCTCCATAAAGAAAACTTAGTGAAATTAAAGCTTTTTAAGTTAGGATATTAGGGTTAAAGACAGAAAAAATTTGTAAATTACCTATCATATTGATATATAAATATACATTTGTATTTTCACCTTTTTTTCTGGTTTAAACGATAAAATTTACGATCTCATATTGACATTGTACCAACTCTGTGGACTTTAATTCTTATGAATTGTATAACTATTAAATATTAATTTAGAATAATAAAACTCGATATTTTTTAGTGTGTGAGGAGATTTATTTAAAGACTGCAATAATGAAACATTTCTTGTTAAATCGATTTTGCCATGATTAAGAAAAATATTAAACTTTAATTGGTGATTTTGCATTGAACTGTAAATTATGCATTATTATTATTGTAATATTTTAAAAATTTTAATCTCTACTACCATCTATAGTAAAAGTAATGAATTATATAAATGTGATGTTCTATTGAAACCAAACTGGGTTCGGAATAACGGGGTTTCCGTTCGTTTTACATCAATAGTTACAGCACGTACGTACGTACATACGCACTTCAAAGTTGTATTGGTAATTGTATGTTGTGAATTACCCCTCCTGGTAATAATGTACAAATAGCGTAGCACAATTGATAGTTTTTCTAAATTTTGTAAAATTTAAAAATTTTATAACTTCTGTAAATCGGGTAAAATTTTAAAATAGTATAGATCAACAAAATTTCTTTCATTTAGTAAATTTTCTTCTATGTAATGACATATATATAAGCAACCCGACTTAACTTTAATAAAAATAACTTAGTGGAGTTTGAGTTCAAAAGCTTCGAAATTTGAGTAGAAGTGGTGACTCTAAATTGGTTTCCTTTTTTTAAGTTTCGTATCCAATAAGCCGTTGTTCATATTTACACTACCCCGATACTAGTAGAAGCCATCATTATTGAGCCAGAGAGAAATAAAAAGAAGCTTATTCGTATTATATCGATCTTATACCCTTGATAATCCCAGTGATCCACAAATTAGTCTAACAATCAATCGATCGATCGACCTAATTCCCCGTGACGTGACACGTGAAGATCATTAGGACCGAATATAGAGATGTTAAAATTAAAACTTTGAATATAGTAGATAGGTAGAATTACTTATCCAAGTCACCAGTTGCGCCGCAGTAGCCGCAGTAAGACCCGGAAACCACTTTGAGGTTTTAGGAGTCTTTAGAGCCTTAATACTGTAATAGTTAGTTTTAGTGTGTTAATTGGATATTTTAGCCCTGAACCCGTTAGTCACGCCTTTCACAATGTACAATTTGCGTAGATATAATTCCTAAATTAAGAAAGAATTCACGCTACAGTAGTAAATAAAATAAAAGTTATTCATTGTAAATACCGTATATCAAAACACTCATATTCCGGACATAATACGTACTCCTCCAGTTAGATTAACCAAAGGCCTACAATAAACATCAACCCTAAAACAATACACAACAACTCAGCATCACGCATTGGAAATATGTCAGAGGAAATGGTTTTATACAAATTACATCACTTTAAAATGCAGATAAATTCAATGTCGTACTAAACAAAACTGATAAACAAAAATGAACAATTGGATCTTTTTGGATAAATTCAGTTCGAGTCATTAAAAATTTGGCCTTCAAAGGTCATTATTGTTAAATAAAACATATGCTGGCGATAAATGCATTTAAAATACAATTTAATACAAATATAGAGTTTATATTTTCTGATTATGAAGTTGATGTGATTCCTAGGTATTTTAATAATCTATTTCGACGATTTTATTTTCTTTTAATTTGGAATACTTCGTATTCTGTTATTGGAAACCAATCATTTATCTTTCTAAATGCTTTTTCATATGATCCATGACAACAACAGATATCAAAATGATCGTACATTTCAAGATCCCCATTCCCAAAACTTGGACCATAATTAGGATTACAGTAAATTGCTAATTCTGTATCTTTTACACGACTTAAAGTAGAAGATTGAATAGTATCATTTTTCAATGAAAAAATAAAGCTATCATTGTAACTCACATAATTATTTATTGATTTATCCCATTTAATTGGATTATAACCACCAAGAATTTCATTAGTGTCTTTAACCTTCATGATGACAATAGTATTTTCTTGCTTATCACATAATTTCCAAAATGATTCAGGAGTAAAACCATCTCTAGTGCCACGAAGAAGTAATTTAAACTCATATGGATTATTTGTTACTGGATAAATTTCAGTTTTCTTATCAATCCATGATGCAATTTCGGCCACATGTGCTTCATTGATAACTTTTGAAAATGGATCCGTGGCACGTGTTGGTAATGTTGGTGTTAAAATTATACGAGGTGGAAGAATTGTTGACGATATTTGTCGATTAGGATTAACAGCTCTTTTCATTATATCATTCCAAAGGTTTCTATCTAAAATTTGATGATACGGTTGTACATTATCAACAATATCATCCCCAGATATTTGAAAATTATACGAGGTAAACAATTATGTAATCTATTTTTTAATACTAGAAAGTTTTCATTAGTCCAATTTTCTGGGCCATTTGATGATAAGCCTGGATTTTGAGCAATTCCCCATTTAATCATATATTTCCAAATATTTATTTCTTCCATTTGTAAATCATCTCGTTTAATGAGTGAGACTAACGCATTTTCTTGAAGAGATGTAAAATCTTCAGAGTCAAAAATTTTATTTGGATATTTTGCTAAAAAATCCTTGCACCATTTTTGTAAACTTTGAAATTGATTATCTTGAAAGCTTTTTTGATAAATCAGTGTAAAATGTAACCGAAGCCAGTGAGCTTTTTCTTCGATCAAATGTGTCTCAAGAAAGTTTGCCAATTCTTTAAAAAGAAACTCATGAGCAACAAGCATGAGATCAAAAATAAATGATGTATCTTGATTTTCCAGTGAAGTAACTCCTCCGTAAATATACCTTTATTAAATTTGTACAATATTTAAAATTAGTTCCTTATATATACTATGTACTATGAATATTATTAAAAATATGCATCACTTACTTAATAATAAATTCAAATTGTTGAATAGAAACATGTTTTAAATTAATAGTTTTGATGTTATTTGCGTCTTTACTGATGTTTGCTAGTTTGTCTCGAAAATATAATGATCTATATCTTAAAACATTTGAATGTACTCTAAATATCTTCGTATTTGGTGATTCTCCAACATTTATTATTACATTAAAATCTTCTTTATCATTAAGAAGTTCAAGGTAATCAGCCGAAAGTTTTTCTAAATGTTTTGCTGCTATTTTAAGATTGACATACGTATGCGTAGTAATAATAATGGAAAAGTGGTTATACTACATTTAATCTACATTGTCATACAAATATCCTTATTTAAAGCACCCTACGCTAGTCATTGGTGGCGAAAAAAGTTCGGGTCACTGAAGTAAACAGCCAATCAAAACGATCAAAATTTGAACAATAACGCAGTAATGACTTGATTAAACTCAAAAAATTTTTTATTTTAATTCTATATTTTAGTAGAATTAAAATAATAATTATAATAATAATAAAGTTTTGTCGAATTTGGACAGGTGGTTATTGAGAAATCTTTATTTTAATTCTGTAAGTTTATAGAATTATGATAAAAAAAAAAATTTTATCGAAATCGGATGGGTGATTGTTAAAAAATCTTCACTAAATTTTGAGAAAAAATTAGCCACAGCTTCTTTTTTATAGGTGCCTAAATTTGAACGAATTTGATCAGGTGAATGCCGAGTAATCTTCGTTTAAAGTTTAGGCACCCATAAAAAAAGAAGCAGTGACTAATTTTTCTAAAACTTCTCAACAACCACCTATAAATAAATTCGCGGAATTAAAATAAAAAAATTTATCGAATTTGAATCGATGGTTGCTAAGAAATCTTTGTTGGAATTTTAAATATAAATTTATTTTTTTCAGTATTAATTTTTTTTAAAAATCTTTAAGTGAAATTTCTCAACAACTGTCGTTCTAAATTTGACGAAAATTTTCTTTTATAATTCCATGAATTTATAGAATTAAAATAAAATAAAAAATTTTTCGAATTGGATAAGCGGCTGTTGATTTGTGTAACTGCAGTATTGGGGTCATTTTGTCTACTTCTTTTCGCAGGAGAGGGGTCGTTAAGTGCTTGGAGTACAGGTGTTCATAGTTAGGGTAGAGTGACCGTATAAATTTTACTAAAAAGTTTTAGAAATTAGCCGCAACTTCTTTTTTATAGCCCTATAAGAAATGTACTGGACCGACTTGGATAGGCACGGATCAAGATCTGGATTTGTATGGGTATGGTCCAAGTTGGTACACTCTACCCTCATTATAACGGACTCTGATATAGCGGATACCTTATTATAACGGAGTAATTTTCTAAACCAATTTAAATTTATTATTATATTATACAGTCGACCCTCTCAGAATCGGTATGCATGGCGGACAGGGTTTGTATCAGTTTTAAGAGGTTATCGGATTTGAAAAAATAGCAAACTATTAGATTTATATCAGTTTTAAGAGGTTATCGGATTTGAAAAAATAGCAAACTATTAGATTTATATAATGGGAACATTGATTTTTTATCAGATTTGACAGGTTATCGGGTTTGACAGGATCGGTTTTGAGAGGGTTGACTGTATAACATTATAATGAATATTCATTTATATACTGGCAATCATAAATAATGCATCTAAAAAAAAATTTGTTAGATTGAAGTTTCTTATGCAATTCTGCATGTATCCTTTTACTTTTTTTTTTTTTATTTGTAAATACTATCCCTTTCATCAATAAAAATTTTTAAAAAATTAATCAATTAAATTTTTTAGATGCATGAGCTTTATTTGAATTCACATGCTGCATCTCTTTGCTCATTTTTACAACAGCATGAACATAAAATACAAAAATTTTTTTGTACACTAAAAAAATAAATTTTTTTTTCTATTTAATTCTCCACATGTTTATCATCTAGTATAGCCACCCTGAGCCCTAATAACATCATGAACTCATTCTGGTATTGAACAAATCAAGTTCATACAGGTCTCAAGATCAATCTGCTTCCACACTATCTGAATTTTCTCCCAGAGGTCTCTTTCACTCGAAATATTGCTAGGAGCCTTTTCAAGCAATGGATGACTTCAGCCTACAGGTGTTCAATCAGATTTAGATCGGGGGACACAGAAGACCATTTGAAGATTCTAATCTTATTCCTTTCAAACTAATGTTTGGTTAAGATTGCAGTATGGCAAGATGCACCATCTTGCTAAAAAATTATACCCCATACCCTAAATTTGTGATTTCTCACAGTTCCCAGAAGGTTGTTGTGAAGTATCAGCTAGTACAACTTACTATCCATCATACAATTGATTTTACAAAACCCTCCAATGTCACAAAACATAAAGCAACCCCAGATCATAATGGAGCTACTTTATGCTTCACTTTTGGTTATATGTGGAAGCAGTTTAACAGTTCCTTTGGACACTTCTAGTAATACTGCTTCCCATCTGAGCCAAAAATTTGAAACTGTGATTCATTTGACCAAATTATCTTTGACTATTCTTCGATAAACCAATCTTCATGTTTTTTGCAAAAATCGAGCCATGCTTTTTGGTAACTAGCACTTAGGAACAGTTTTTTTTGCTTAATCCTTGAAATCAAACTGTACTCCCAGAGTATACAATGAATAGTAGAAGCCAAAACCTCAAGATTTTTTTTTTCTTTCAGGTGGGAGACCACCTGGACAGTCATAGAGCAGCATCAAGAGGTAATTAGGTTTACAATCTTCATTCAGGCTGGTTCACCTGGGTGACCAACTCTTTCTAAATCTTGAAGTGTGTGGTTCTCAAGCCACCTTTTCTTGATACAGAAGATGGTGGAAGAGGCAATATGATGAGTCCAGCATATAGCCCTTGTTGTGTATCCTTTTTGTAGTAAGAGAGCAAGATTTGTGCCCTTTGTTTGTGAGTGGTATAGTTCTTTTTTTTTTGTTTTTTTAGTTATCAATTAATTTCAACATCATACAAGATGCAAAATCAGACAAAAAAAATCAATTTATAAAAATGTATTATGTAGTACACATAAGCCATCTGATTAGTGTTACAAGCTGTAAAGTTTTTATCAGCTGGCTAAGCCAGCCAATAAAAAATTTAGCTTAGTGGCTGGCTAATGGCTAAGATAAGCACAAATTTTTTACTTCAGAAGATATTGGAAATTACTCTAATTTTTTTTCTCAACCTCACTTGTCTTTGATATTACAGTAGATTCTCGCAATAGTCACATGCTAAAATCAGATGAATTAAGTGCTTATTGCGAGATTGTGACTAATACGAGTAAAAATTTATATATAATATATATAATAAGAGTAAAAAATTAATGTGATTATAGTGAGAATGTGACTATTGTGAATGTGACTATTGCGAGAATCTACTGTAGTTCATTTTTTCTTTGGATTCTTGCTTTCTGTTTTTTAATTCTAGCTGACATTATTGTTCTGGCCTAAATTATACTACCAAAGTCATGTGACCTTAAGCCACATTAGCCAGCCGATCATATTACATCGGCTAGCTTAGCCGGCTAAGCTGCCTTAGCCCCAGCCAGCTTGTAACACTACATCTGATCTTTGGTAAAAACAAGCAAAAATAATGCATCACGTGTTTCGTAACACACGCGTGATTATTTTCAGATTGCAGTATAGATGTTTAATAAAATTCTACAAGTAAATAGTGACGCCATTCACGAATAAAAAAACAAAAAAACAAAAGGATGCACGCGGAATTGCGTGAGAAAATTCGATCTAACGAATTTTTTTTTTTTTGATGCATTATTTATGATTGCCAGTGTAATGGATATAATGGACAAAATCTTTCAGTCCGAAGGGTTCGTTATAACGAGGGTAGAGTGTATGGATTTGGCGGACCGTGAATTGGACCGTAAATGGCTCTGAGTTTGAGCAGTTTACTAGTCGAATCAGTACACGGGTAATGATATTCACGTACCACTGCGATAACAAATACAAACATGTAGATTAATGATTAAAACATAAAGTTTTCATTAGCAATCAATATAATATGAGCAAATTAACTGCAAATGAAGTAAAATTTTGTAAGGAATTTTTTTAGAAAGATACTCAGAGCAGCTTCATCAGTGAAATTATGAGATATGGCATATTTTTAAAATAATCATTTATTGATCTTTCGTTCTCCGCGAAACGAGCCAACACGTGCGCAACGTACACATACGTGTCATCTGAACGTGCCGTTCCGTATAACTGCGCCACCCTTACCGTAATGTCCTGTCATTTTTTACCGTGCCATTCCGTAAAACGTGCCGAACCTCCATAATGAAAGTTTAGTAAATTAAAGATTTTTAAGTTATGATATTAGGGTTAGAGAAATTTATAAATTAACTCTTATCAGTTTGATATTTAAATACACATTTTCTTATATTTTCGCCTTTTTTTCTTTTGGGTTAAACGATTAAAATTTACGATCTCATATTGACATTGTACCAACTCTGTGGCCTATTGATTTTTATAAATTGTATAACTATTAAATATGAGAGTTATTAATTTTGAATAATAAAACTCGATATTTTTTAGTGCGTGAGGGGATTTATTTAAAGACTGCAAAATTTAATCATAATGAAACTGTATTATTGTTACCATATTATTTTAAAAAATTTTAATCTCTATTACTATCTGTAGTAAAAGTAAAAGAATTATATAAATGTGATGTTCTATTCAAACCAAACGGTTTCGGGATAACGGCTTTTTCTGTTCGTTTTACATCAATAATTACAGCACGTACGTACATACGCACTACAAAGTTGTATTGGCAATTGTACGTAGATATAATTCCTAAATCAAGGAAAAAATCACGTTAGTAAATAAAATGAAAGTTATTCATTGTAAATACTGAAATACGGCATCACGCATTGGAAATATGTCAGAGGAAATGATTTTATACAAATTACATCACTTAAATAAAAAAAATTACAAATTCAAGCACAAATAGGATCTTTTTGGATAAATTTAGTTCGAGACATTAAAATTTTGCTTTTCAAATGTCATTATTGTTAAACAAAACATGCTGGCGATAAATGCATTTAAAAATGCAATTTAATACAAATATAGCATTCATATTTTTCTGATTATGAAGTTGATTTGATTCATAGGTATTAGGTATTTTAATAATCTATTTCGACGATTTTATTTTCTTTTAATTTGGAATACTTCGTATTCTGTTATTGAAAAATAATCATCTATCTTTCTAACTGCTTTTTCATATGATTCATGACTATAATAACAGCAACTATCGGAATCAAAATCATTGTACATGTCAATATCCCCATTCCCAAAACTTGGACCATAATCAGGATTACAATAAATTGCTAATTCTGTATCTTGTACACGACTTAAGATAGAAGATTGAATAGTACCATTTTTCAATGAAAAAATAAAGCTATCATTGCAACTCACAAAATCATCTATTGATTTATCCCATTGAATTGGATTATAACCACCAAGAATTTCATCAGTATCTTTAACCTTCATGACAACAATAGTATTAGCTTGCTTATCACATAAATTCCAAAATGATTTATTAGTAAAACCATCTCTAGTGCCACGAAGAAGTAAATTAAATTCATATGGGTTTTTTGTTGCCGAATACATTTCAGTTTTCTTATCAATCCATGATGCAATTTCGGCTGCATGTGCTTCACTAATAACTGTCGAAAATGGTTCTGTGGAACGTGTTGGTAATGTTGTCGTCAAAACTATACGAGGTGGAAGAATTGTTGAAGATATTTGTCGATTTGGATTTATTGCTCTTTTCAATATGTCATTCCAAAGGTTTCTATCTAAAATTTGATGATACGGTTGAACATTATAGATAATATCATCACCAAATATTTGAAAATAACGGATATGAGGTAAACAATTTTGTAATGTATTTTTTAATGCGAAAAAGTTTTCATTTGTCCAGTTTTCTGGTTCACTTGATGATAAGTCTGGATTTTGAGAAATTCCCCATTTAATTATATATTTCCAAATATTTATTTCTTCCATTTGCAAATCATCTCGTTTGATAAGTGAGATTAACGCATTTTCTTGAACTGATGTAAAGTCTTCGGAATCAAAAATCTTATTTGGATACTTTACTAAAAAATCGGTACACCATTTTTGTAAATTTTGAAATTGATTATTTTGAAAGCTTTTTTTGATAAATCTGTGTAAAATGTAACCGAAGCCAGTGAGCTTTTTCTTCGATCA